TCTGAGGGAGGGAGGGACAGTGAGGGTGTCTTCAACCGTGAGCAACAGCCGTCAGTCCCAAGACATGGCCGAACGATGCAGCGTGTTAAGGAGTGTGCACGCCTAGAGTCGTTTGTCGGCGTCACTAGGTCCAGTAGAGGTGTTCGACTGGAGTAGAGTGAGCGCGCCGCCCTACAATGGGCCAATGGCCAGCAGGCGCCTGGGTGTCTTCAACCGTGAGCAACAGCTGTCAGTCCCAAGATGGGGCCTAACAATGCAGCGCGTTGAGGATTGTGCACGCCTGGAGTCGTTTGTCGGATTCACTAGGTCCAGTAGAGGCGTTCGACTGGAGTAGAGTGAGCGTGCCGCCCTGCAACTGGCCAATGGCCAGCAGGCGCCAGGGCGGCTCTTTTATGACAGCCCCTCTTCTCAATGACCGCGATGAAACAGGCCGCCTGCGGTCGTACCGGGCCGATGGCTTGGATCGTCCCGTGATCTTAAAGTCTTAAGATCACGCGGAAATTTGGACCGTAGGGCCAGTAGGACAGCGGGCGGCCCGGATAGCCCAATCCTCACTTAGCAGTTCCTACGAGTGTAGGGATGGGTATGCAGGCCAGGGGGCTGAGTTTGCACGCCTGGCCGGACAGGCACCCCCAGGTCAGGCAGGCAGGTGTGGACCAAGCTCAGGAAAGCTGGACGAGTCAGAAAAAAGGGCGAGGATTCAAGAAACAGTTACTGATTTCAGGGCCCAAGATTCTGCGAGGCATGGGTGGCCAGAACCCAGCCTTACCTTCCAATCTAGTGATGGGTCACCCAGGACAGTTTTGGGGGTATAAACAGGGCTGAAATACCATGCCCTAAGGGAAAAGAAAACATGCCAACGACCATGCAAAGGGGAAACAAAACAAAAAAAGAAAACAGTTCCAGCCGTGAGTCTATCGTCATGCTCAAAACGGACAAAAACGATCAGAAATACTGTAGGGCTCTCCACGACCCTAACACAAACTGAGAATCACCAAGGCTTGAGAATCTGAAAGGATTACATGCAACAGCTGACCGACCATCCGAGCGACAAGTGCAAGCAGTGCTGGATGGCTGCGATTTAAGTCAGCAAAATCCGGGCAAAAAGGGCCATCGAAACAGCGCTGAACACCGTGTGAGCTTTCGGCTGTCTCAAAATCTCAGCCCTAACACATACATCTTCATGATTAGTGTTAAAACAGAAAAGGAATCATATCGAGGTAACATCTCAGCGCATGCTGAAAGCAAGCCCTTGTTTATAATACAATGGCTCTGGTTTTCTGTTATTTTTCTCCTGGATTTCAAGGAGACCCTCACCATTGTATTATAAACGAAGGCTTGCTTTCAATCTGCCATGAGATGTTATCTCAATATGATTCCTACAGCGATCATGAAGATGTATGTGTTCAGGCTGAGATTTTGAGACAGCCGAAAACTCACAGGGTGTTCAGCGCTGTTTCACTGGCCCTTTTTGCCCGGATTTTGCTGACTTGAATGGCGCAGCCATCCAGCACTGCTTGCACTTGTCACTCGGATGATCGGTCAGCTGTTTCATGTAATCCTTTCAGTTTCTCAAGCCTTGGTGATTCTCAGTTTGTGTTAGGGTCGTGGAGAGCCCTACAGTATTTCTGATCGTTTTTTGTTGTTTTCGAGAATGACTATAGACTCATGTCTGGAACTGTTTTTTTTTTTTTTTTTTTTTCCCTTTGCATGGCCGTTGGCATGTTTTCTTTTCCCTTAGGGCATTGCAGCACCACTAGCAAATTGAAAAAGACAACAGTCACAAAAACTATGCCGGGTGTATCTTTCAATGGTATTGAGAAAGATACATTCTCCGTTTTGCACATTCCTAGAGTGGTGTGGCGACGCCCATAGGCTGGAGTGGTTGTAGGCATTTTTTGTTTCCCCTTCGCACGGACGTTGAAGTGTTTTGTTTTCCTTTGTTTTTGGACAGGGCACCAGGAATGAATAATCTGTGATATTTGTTTTTTCTTTGCGAGCGAAGCCGCGCAACAGGTCATCTAGTGCACATAATTCTCAGTAGCTGGATGGAGAAAGACCTGTCTTTGGGCTCCGTCTGCAGTCATCATCGCAACTTGCTGTCAGAAAGGGAAGCATCAGCCATACATAATTGTGGAACCAGAGTGTCAGCTGCTGTACTTAACTTTAATCAATCCTCATGAGACATCGAGTATTTGCATTTCAGCTGCTCCTTGATGTGGCAAGTTTAAGATTGTTGATCTGTGTTGCCTTTTTGTGCGTCTGTGTATGTTGCAGCGAGCAAATGAAGCTGTGTCTCCTTTTCCTTCGCTTCTCCAAAGTGTGAGAGCTCCCCTCAGAGGAAGGCTCGCGGCTCATGTTCACCGAATGTCATCGCCCCCTTCAATATACCGAACCAGGGAGAAAGAGGTGCCAGTCGATTCCCCTCCGTCAAATCTTACGGTGTCCCCTTGCACCAACTTTCAGCCTCTCCTAACCTGCCACATTGCGTCGCCTGATGGCGCATCTGTTAGTGGGCCCGAGGGAGCTCCTGCACAAGGTAGAGACACGGGTCCTTTTCCAGACGCTCCGGATGTGTGGATGGCTGACATGGACAGTGTGAAGAATGTGGATTGAGCATTACCAGCCGCAGCAGATTCCGTAGTTGCCTTGAGGTGCATCTCCTAATTGGCTGAGTGGGTACGAATGATAGTCCATGATTAGCTGCATGTGTAACCATGCCTGATTCCATAACGAAGGGACTGAAGCTCTCAAAAAGTGTCGGTTGTCAGGCTTGTGCTACCATGCATCCTGGGCTCTGAAGATTGGGAACAAGAATATCGGACGGAAGGTCACATACCCTGTCCTGGTGGTCTGTTTGAAGCGTTTGAGGTTGTGCGAGGAAAGTTGTGCTGCGGCTATGGCCACTTGATCTGGGCACATTCTGTGCACACATCGGCTATTCCCGAGCTTACGGCAGATGGGAGGGGTGATCTTCGTCTCCTGTCCTCGGTGTTCTTCTTTGCAAGGCACATGCTCACACCACATATGAAGTCCTTCCTTGTAGCAGTAAAATCTGCCCATGAGAATAGAAGTCCGGGTTTCTTTGCACTCCTTTCCATGAGAATGGCAGGGTGTTTCTCTTGTGTCATGTTGTTGCTCTCCTCTCTGCCTTGTGTTTGTGCTTCAGCCTTGATGCCTAAATCCTTGCTCATGCTCTCTAGCAGCCTTTGCTTGTGTAATTGCCGTCCATCTTGTCTTTTCACTGAAAGGACTGAAGTCCTGTGTTCCCAGTTCCTTGGGTGGTGTTGTGCAGATGGAGATCTCCCGTTTCTCCATCAACCTCAGTCTGCATGCACCTTTTCCTTCATCCTGTCGGACCACAAATATGGCATATGCTTCAATATTTGTTTTCATCATTGCTGCTTTCTTTCTTCCGCGTCTCGGATACCCTGAAACACATGTTTGGCGAGAAGTGGAAATGCTATCGTCTGTCTGCAGTGAAATGATATCCTCTCCGTCGCTCGCTTGAAGAATCCAATGCCTTGTTTATTTGTATTTGATGGCCCTAGGCAGATTCAGATTCGTGTCATGGAATTTGAAGCCCCTGGTGGGCCTGGTGCCCATCCTTCACTCTCATTGTCTCTTATAACTCTGTGTCTACTCCCGTTTGCTTATGCTACAGGCTGGCTCTCTCTCTCTCTCTCTCTCTCTCTCTCTCTCTCTCTCTCTCTCTCTCTCTCTCTCTCTCTC